GTCATGCTGCGCTATGCTATGCTATGCTATGCTGTGCTGTGCTATGCTATGCTATGCTGCGCTGTGCTATGCTAAGCAATGCTGTACTATGCTATGCTATGATTTGCTGCGCTATGCTATGCCATGCTATGCTATGCTATGCTATGCTATGCTTGGCTATGCTTTGTTATGCTATGCTATGCTGTGCTAATGCTGCGCTGCGCTGCGCTAAGCTAAGCTAAGCTAAACCAAGCTAAGCTAAGCTAAGCTAAGCTTAGCTAAGCTGGGTGAACCCAGGGGGCGCAACTGGGGGAACCGCGGGGCGGATACTGGGGGAACCGCCCGGGGCGCTTTCCACTGCCCGGCCCCTTGTAGGCAGAGCCTAGGCCTTCTAGGCAGAGCCTAGGTAGGGAATAATATGGTGATGATGATGATGATGATGATGATGATGATGATGACGATGATGATGATGATGATGATGATGATGATGATGATGATGCTGCTGCTGTTGATGATGATGATGTTGATGATGATGATGCTGATGCTGATGATGATGATGATGTTGATGGTGATGATGATGTTGATGATGATGATGATGATGATGATGACGATGATGATGATGATGATGATGATGATGATGGTGATGATGATGATGATGATGATGATGATGATGATGATGATGATGATGATGAGATGATTGTTGATGATGATGATGATGACGATGATGGTGATGATGATGATGATGATGATGAGGAGGAGGAGGGAGGAGGGAGGAGGAGGATGAGGCGGGAAGGAGGAGAGGAGAAGGAGGAGGAGGAGAGGAGGAGCAGGAGGGCGCGAGGAGGAGGCGAGGAGGAGGAGGAGGAGGAGGATGAGAGGGGTGGGAGGAGGATGAGGCGGAGGAGAGGAGGAGAGGAGAGGAGGAGGAGGAGGAGAGGAGGAGGAGGAGGAGGAGGAGGAGGAGGAGGAGGAGGAGGAGAGAAGACCGAGGAGGAGGAGGAGGAGGAGAGGAGGAGGAGGAGAGGGAGGAGGAGGAGCGAGGAGGAGGAAGAAGACGGAGGAGGAGGAGGAGGAGAGGAGGATCGGACAGGAGGGAGGAGGAGGAGGAGGACGGAGGAGGAGGAGGAGGAGGAGGAGGGAAGGGAGGAGGGTGGGGGGGGGGGGAGGGCGGGAGGAGAGGAGAGGAGGAGGAGGAGGAGGAGGAGGAGGAGGAGGAGGACCAGGAGGAGGAGGAGGAGGTTGAGGAGGAGGATGAGGGCCATCGCATCTGACATAGTGACTTAGTGACTTGCGCTCTACTGGCTGCTGCTGCTGCTGCTGCTGCTGCTTGCAACCCCAACCGACAACTGCGCCTGTCGAACAAACTGATCAAGAGTGATGGGGGCAGTGACAACTACAGGGCCGCGTTTCCCTTGTTTGGGATGTCGTCGCTCCTTGAGGCAGCTGAGAGCTGCCTTCTTACTATTGCTGGCCGGGCGGCGGGGACAGGTTCTGTCAAAGCCTCTCGTCATGATTTCTGAATACGTGCCGCCAGCCCAGCAAGCCATGACACAACTCCTGTTATCGCGGACCTCTGTTGTGGTCATTGCGCTGCTCTGAGAGACGGGGGAGGGACGTGCACCAGCCTGGGCACTTCGTGCCATCCCGCCAGGCATTCGGAGCTGGCGTAACAGCACGTGTGCGGCACAGCTCGCACATCCGACACTTTGAGGAGGAGGAGGAGGAGGAGGAGGAGGAGGAGGAGGAGGAGGAGGAGGAGGAGGGAGGAGGAGGAGGAGGAGGAGGAGGAGGAGGAAGGAGGAGGAGGAGGAGGAGGAGGAGGAGGAGGAGGAGGAGGAGGAGGAGGAGGAGGAGGGGGAGGGGGAGGGGGAGGGAGGATGGAGACCAGACCCACTCGTGTGGCCGCCTCGGGAGTTGGTCCCGGGGGCGGACCTCCGACCTCGGAATCCCAGGGCCCACGGTGCGAGGGAGCGGCGGAGGAGGCGTGGGGGCACTGAAAGGCGGCCTTGTGGTCGCCAGCACCGCGGCGTGCTTCGGCCATGGGGCCCACTGGGTTCGAGGTCTGAAGGGCTTTCCGCCGCAACTGGGGCCCAAGCGCCTGGAGCGCGAAGGGGTACCTCGGGCAGCGCGGCTCCTGGAGATCATGAGGTTCCGAGAGCCCGCAGCTGTACTTGAGTTCAGAGGCTTCCTCGGGCTGGTGAGCTCATTGGGCGTGGAGGCTCGTAGGGTCCTTGGCCTTACAGAAGCCACTGGCTCTTGGGCCCCATCGAGCGGGTTGGCTCACAGGGTTCGTGAGGTGCATGGGGCTCATAAGGGTCATTGTGCTAATTGGGTCCAGGAGGCTTACAGGGTTCAGAATGTGTTGTCGGGGTCATAAGGCTCATAGCGTCCGCGGGGCTCATAGGGCTCATAGGGCTCTTGAGGCTCTTAGGGGTCGCGCGGGCCGTGGGGCCCATGAGGCTGCTAGAGCTCATAGGGCTCGTTGGCCTTATGAGGGCAACAGGCGACATAGGGCCCATGGGGCCCACCGGGCCCGTGGGGGGGGGCTCGTAGGGCTCGTCGGGCTCATTGGTCTCATAAGGCTCATAGGGCCCATCGAGCCCATGGGGCTTATATGGCTCATAGAGCTCATAGGGCTCCGAAGGTTCGTAGGGCCCAACGGCTCATGAGGCTTACATGTATCATATGCTCACAGGCGGCATTGGGCACATATGGCTCAGAAGGCGCATCGGACTCGTGTAGCTCATGTTGCTCGCACGGTCAATGGGGCACATAAGGCTCATTCGGGTTCGGATGGGGCTATATGTTGCATGGGGCTCATAGGGCTCACAGGAGCCATAGGGCTCATGGGGCTCATAGTGGCCCATGAGGGTCATACAGCTCGTTGGGCCCATAGGGCTCATATGGTTCGTGGGGTTCATGTGGCCCGTAGGGCGTAGGGGGCCTCATACTGCTCGTAAGCCTCATATGGCCCATGGGGCTCGTCTGGGTACCGTTGTTTTCGTTTGGCTTGCGAGTTTGCTGCCATGTGGAACGGTATGTAAGCATAGCAGGCGGAGGGGGAGAGCGAGAGAGAGAGAGAGAGAGAGACAGAGAGAAATCATGAGAGAGAGAGAGAGAGGCATGACGATATGACGACGTTGTCATAAGGTTCGTATGTGCAGTAGGGCTGGGGAATTCATATGGCTCATGGCCTCGTAGGTATCGTAAGGCTTGTAGAGCTCATGGCAGAGGTGCCTCGGGGGTGTCTTGGAGGGCACATGGGGCTCATAGGGCTCCTAGGTCTCATAGGTGTCGTATGGGGTGACAGGGTTGCGAAGGGTCTTACGGCTCATGAGCTGATCGGGATGATGGGGCTCGTAGGGGTTGGAATGCTTATGATGTCGTGAGGAGCATCGGGTCGTACGGCGCATGGGGCTCGTGAGCGTACGTGTTGCAAGGGCTCGTAGGGGTCATAGGGCAGCTGAGGTTGATTTGGCTTTGAGGGTTCGTAGCGCTGACATGGGGTCGTAGGGTTCGCAAGGCTCGAAGGGCTCATGCGATCGTCGGGCTCATAAGTGTCGTAGGGCCCAGGAGCTCATTGGGCTCATGGGCCCGTAACGCTCATGGGCCTCAGAGGGCTTTTGGATAAGGCGTCTCGGGGGCCTCTTGGATGGCGCATAGGGGTCGTAGGCATCATAGGGCTGAAAGGACTCGAACGGCTTATAGCGCCATCTTAACCCATCTTGCGGGGCCTTGTGGGCAATTTCGCGGTCTTCTTGGGCTGTCTCGGGCTTCCTTGCAACCCAGGTGCGCCGCTTGTACTGTGTGAGGGCGCGACCCCGGGAGCGTCTTGGTGTTTAGACGTTGGCACGTGGTTGAGAGCATCTACCACACAACCTCGCGACAATTTCATGAATGTGGCCTCTGAGGGCCTTCGTGGGGATCCTTTTGGGGCTCTTTTGGGCCGTCTGGCGGCCTTCTTGGGCCGTCCTTAGACCCTCTTGAGTCGTCTTGGGGGATTGGGCCGTCTTGGGGCTTTCTTGGGGCCCTCTTGGGCCCTCATGGGTGCCTCCTGTGGCCTTCTTGGGGGTCTCTTGGGAGCCTTTTGGGGCCCTCTGGGGCCCGTCTTGGGCCGTCTCGGAAGCTTTTGGCCCGTCTTGGGGCCCTTTTGGGACATTTTTGGGCCGTCGTGGGGCGATCTGTGGGGTCTCTTGGGCCCGCTCGGGCGGCATAGGATGGCCCAGAGGATTCCCGAAACCGAACATTCGAGTTTCACGTTAGTGGGAGCGCCCAGGGCCGAACTTATGCACGGGGGTCCTTATAAGAGTATTCGAGAAGGAACATACACATACACACACGGGCACACATACTCATGCATTCATACGGACACACACATGCATCTGCATTCACGCATCCACATGCACGACACATACACGTTCGCACACGCACATGCACAAACACACACACATACACATACACATGCGCATGCACATGCACATGCGCATACACATGCACACGCACATGCGCATGCACATGCACATACGCATACGCGTACACACGCACACACGCACACACCTACATTACTATACATATAGTTTGTTTGTAGGTATGTATGTATGCATGCATGTATGCATGTATGTATGCATGCATGCATGCATGTATGTATGTATGTATGTATGCATGTATGTACGTATGCACGCATGCATGCATGTTTGTACGTATGTAGGAGGTAGACATGCAGGTAGTTAGGTAGGTAGGTATGCATGAATGGATGGATGAATGGATGGCTGGATACATATATATATAATGTATGTATACATGCATACATGCATACATATGTATGAAGACGAGCATGCATACGTATACATGCATATATATATGTATACATGCATACATACATATGTATACATGAATACATACATCATATGTATACATACATACATCCATGTATACATATATATATGTATGAAGACGAGCCTACTAAGACAAACAAGGCGCGATGAGGTTGGGTTTAGCAGCCACACGAAAGGCCGCGGCGCATGGCGCACAGCCCCCTGCACGACATGCTCCTCGCCGGCGGCGAGGAGGCTGGCACCAACGCGGCGATGGTGCAGGAGCTCGAGCGATCCGGGGTGCTGACGACCCCTGCCTGCTCCGCCGCCTTCCGCGCGGTGGACCCCAGGGGCGCCGAAATGAGTAGGAGGAGAACGAAGGGAGGAGAGAGAGGACGAGGATGATGATGAACATGATGAGCATGAGGATGATTATGATGATGATGATGATGATGATGATGATGATGAGGATGATGATGATGATCATGAGGATGAGGATGAGGATGAGGATGAGGATGAGGATGAGGATGATGATGATGATGATGATGATGATGAGCAGGAGGATGAGGATGAGGAGGATGATGATGCTGCAGCTGCTGATGATGATAACGATGATGATGAGGAGGAGGAGGCGGAGGAGGAGATGATGATGATGATGGTGGTGGTGATGATAATGATGATGCTGATGATGATGATGCTTATGATGCTGATGCTGATGCTGATGATGCTGATGATGCTCATAATACTGATGATGATAATATGGTGGTGGTGGTGGTGATGATGATGATGATGATGCTGGTGGTGATGATGATGATGATGATGCTGCTGCTGATGAGGATGATGATAATGATGATGATGATGATGATGATGATGATGATGATGATGATGATGATGATGATGATGATGATGATGATGATGATGATGATGATGATGATGATGATGATGAGGACGCGGACGAGGAGGAAGAGGAGGATGAGGCTGAGGAGGAGGAGAGGAGGAGGAGGAGGAGGAGGAGGAGGGAGGGAGGAAGAGGAGGAGGCGGAGGAGGGAGGAGGAGGAGGAGGAGGGGAGGAGGAGGAGGAGGAGGAGGAGGAGGAGGAGGAGGAGGAGGAGGAGGAGGAGGAGGAGGAGGAGGAGGAGGAGGAGGAGGAGGAGGAGGAGGAGGAGGAGGAGGAGGAGGCTAGCAGGAGGAGGAGGAGGAGGAGGAGGAGGAGGAGGAGGAGGAGGAGGAGGAGGAGGAGGGATCAGAGAGTCGATGTGGTAGTAATGGTAGGCCGGATCGACGGGGTTGGGAGGGAGAAGCGGGGTGGAGTACACGAGGCGGGAAGTGGAGGAAAATGGCACGCCACTGAGGAGAGAGAGAGAGAGAGAGAGCAACGGAAGAGAGGCTTTGTGGCCAGCCACGGACCCCAGGGGAGGCCCCTCGGAGAGGACCTTCTTGCACCACGGAGCGGCTTCGACGGGCCGCACTGTGGTCCCGCGCCAGTGCCCCCCTGAGGAAGAAAGACTTCCCCTGTCGCCCTTCTCCTCCTCGTCGTCGTCGTCGTCGTCGTCCTCCTCCTCCTCCTCCTCCTCTCCGAGGTCGCGGGGCTTCCGCTCCCGAAGTTTAGCGCCAAGGCTCCTGGCCACGACTTCGCTCCGCCTGGCACTCCGGAGGCAGTCTGCCAAGCAGAGATTTTGCTTGGACTCCGTCCCAGGGCCCACCGTGGCCGCGGCTGTATTCGAAGAAGAAAAGACGCCATAGATATGTAAACTTTTGGCGCTCCGCGCGAATATCTTGGCTCCGCGCTGGGCCCCCCCGGCTGCGCCTCCGGCGCCACCCTTGGCGCGATCCGCGCGCCAGGGAGGAGGGTCCAGCGCAGATCCGAGAAATCCGCGCGGAGCGCCAACAGTTAGTGTTCATGTAGTTTTTTCTCCTTCTATACACAAGGCAACCTGACATGCCTGTCGGGAGCGCCCCCAAACGGCTTGCGAGAGGTTCTGGCTCTATGGGGGGTTCTGGCTCTGTGGGACTCTCCTGCGGTCCTCTTGGGTCACCGCTAGAACCCTCCAGAGAAACGATCCAAGGGACAAGAGGAGGAGGAGGAGGAGGACGAAGAGGAGGAGGAGGATGAGGAGGATGAGGAGGAGGAGGAGGAGGAGGAGGAGGAGGAGGAGGAGGAGGAGGAGGAGGTGGAGGAACCCTTCTGGCATCCTTCAGGACCGCCGCCACTTCTGGGTGGAGGGCGGGCGCCTGGCGTACACCGACGCTCCGCTGCGGCGCTGGGCGGGGCCAACGGGGGCGGGCCGGAGGGGGTTGCGGCGCAGAGGTGGCCACCTCCCCTCCCGGAGGAGGGGGAGGATGAGGCTTTCCTTTTCTCCTCCTCCCACTCCCACTCTGTCTTGTCCTTCTCCTTTTCAGCCATCCTCATCCTTCCTCCTCCTTCTCCTCCTTGTCCTCCTTGTCCTCCTCCTCCTCCTCCTCCTCCTCCTCCTCCTCCTCCTCCTCCTTCTGCTCCTCTTCCTCCCCCTCCTCTGGGTCGGGTGCCTCGCAGCTATGCCTGTTTCACGGTCGCCCTCGTCCTAGTACAGTCGCGTGAGAGCGTCTCTTGGCTCCGCTGCTCGACCTGTCTTCACTGTGAAGTTGTGGATGTCAGGGTGACCTCCCAGAGGGCTTGCCCTTCTCTGGGGGTGTATGTGGGCTGCCTTCGCGTGGAAGTCAGAACATCCGCCTCCTCCTCTTCTTTTTCTTCGCTTCCCCTTCGCCCTTTGCCCCCTCTCGCCAGACCTTTTTTGGGGCGCCGTTCAAAAGAAGATGAAGGGGCCCAGGAACACACAATTTGAGACGTAGACGCGAATCTCATGATGATCCCCCATACTTTGCCGTGTTTTCTCTGGATGTTCGTCTTCCCCCCCCTTCCCACACTTGACCTATTTTCTCTGGCATGGGCGGTTGTTGTTTGTGCCTGTGTGCCTTTTCTTCCCTCCCGGGCGACACCACGCCGGCCTGTCTGCCCCGAGCCTTGGCCGGCGGGAGCCCCGCGGAAGCGGGGCGGCGGCGGCGGGGGCCCGCCGGCGGCAGGCCAGCGGACGCGGGAAGCGGTCCCGCGCCACCGAGCGCGTTCCGCTGCCCGCAGCGCGCCTGCCTCTCAGCCATTCCTCCTCCTCCTCCTCCTCCTCCTCCTCCTCCTTCTCCCTTCCTCCTCCTCCTCCTCCTCCTCCTTCTCCTCCTCCTTCTCGTCCTCCTCCTTGTCCTTCGCCTCCCTCGTCCTTCGCAGCGTGCCTGCTCGCAAGCGTGATCAGAAACGAGCGCTGCAGCGCGTCTGCCCGCAAGCGTGATCAGAAACGAGTGCTGCTCGATGCAACGTTCGACTAAACGTAAGAACGACCCTTCGCCGGAGTGACCTTTGGTGCGGGCCCGTTGGGGCCCCCCGATCGCCGAGCGCGGTGCGATAGTAGCGTCTCGCGCGCTTGTGTGTTGGTCCCCCCGCGGCCCCCAAAAAGCCGCGCACCAAAGGTCACTCTTGCCCAGGGGATCACTCTTGCGTGTAGTCGAAACGTGGCCTGCTTGTCTCGACGCAGTGGATCCAGGCCCTCTGCGAGCAGCTGCCCTGCGAGTGTGCAGTGGGGCGCGCTGGTTTGCTGAGGGAGGCAGGTTCCGAGGTCTTGCGCCTCTTCGGGCCCTCGGGGCCCTCCACGGGCCCCTGGGGCGGTCCGAGAGCGAGTCGCGACGACGATCTCGGCCGGGGGGGAATCGACTGGACGTGCGAGTGACTTCTCGCAGGAGTGGCCTTTGGTGCGGGCCGACTGGGGCCCCCAGATCGCAACTCCGATGCGGTAGCAGCGGCTCGCGCGCCTGGTGGTGCCCCCGAAGGGCCTCCCCTTGGGCGCGCACTGAAGGTCCCTCTTGCCTAGGGTCACTCCTGTGCGTAGCCGAGGGAAAGCCCCAGGGTCCAGGACCCGTTTTTCCCCGCAGGACCCGCTTCCCCCCCATGCCAGCCATAGGGAGGCGAGAGCGAGGCGCCACCCCTCTCTTGGCCCAGGGCTCCGCGCGCGGCGGAGCAGAAGCGAGACGGGAGCTGCAGAGCAGGGCTCGGACGTTTCCAGACCCCCATCGGGTGTAGTGACAAAACCGACGACGGGAGGCCTTTCGCTAGTTTCGGCCTCTGGGGGCCCTTACCAGGCCTCGGGACCGTCAAACAGCGACTCAGGATAAAGAACCAGTCCCGGTGAAGGGGTCCAGACCTCTGGGGGCCGACGTTGCGAACGAAAATTCCGACGTCGGGGGGCTGGGACGCAAGGTTAGAACGTTTCGTTCGCCCCGAAGCGCACGACGTGCTGCCTTGGGGTCTGTAGGTTTGCATTGCATCATCGAGTTGCGTTTCAAAACAGGATGGAGAGCACATTGCATCATCATCATCATCATCACCACCATCATCATCACCATCATCATCATCATCATCATCTTCATCATCATCACCACGATCATCATCACCATCACCATCACCATCATCATCATCATCATCATCATCATCATCATCATCATCATCATCATCATCATCACCATCACCATCACCATCACCATCACCATCACCATCATCATCCATCATCCATCACCATCATCATTATTCTTATCATCGTCATCAGAAGTATGGAACATGGGAAGAGGAGGGGATCTGGAGCATGTGACCCAGAAGATCTTGCAGCGACTAGGACATCCTGGGATTTGTGTTTCCCTATCTGTGCGTCCCTGGGCGCCTTCGGCAGTGGGCCCAGGGCTTCCGAGTCGTCGGCGAGCCGCCCCCCAGGCACGGCCGGCTCCACCAGTCCGCGCCGCACATCTACGCGCGGGCGCTGGAGGCCCTGATGCCGCTCGCTCCCGGTCACCAGTATGGTTTAACCGATCGGGGATCAAGGGACCCAGACCCCCTCGCGCTGTGAAGAAATCACGACGGGAGGTTTATCGTTACTTTCGGCCTCCGGGGGCCTCTACCGTGCCTCGGGACAGTGACAAAACGACTCGGGATGAAGAATCGGTCCTGGGGAAGGGGTCTAGACATCTGGGGGTCGACGTTGTGGAGTTATCCCAGTGCGACCCTACATAGGAGTTGAAGCATTTAGGAAAGCAACATCTACATCTACGCCGACATCTTCATTTACATCTACACATTTTGCTGCTGTTGCTTTGCCTTTGCTTTGCTGCTATGTTATGCTATGCTATGCTATGCTGCTCTATGCTATGCTATGCTTTGCTATGCTGCGCTATGCTGCGCTATGCTATGCTATGCTATGCTAGGGTACGCTCGGCTGCGCTGTGTTATGCTATGCTATGCCATGCTATGCTGCGCTATGCTATGCTGCGCTATGCAATGCTATGCTATGCTATGCTATGCTATGCTGTGCTGTGCTGTGCTGTGCTATGCTATGCTATGCTGCGCTGTGCTATGCCAAGCAATGCTATGCTATGCTATGCTATGCTATGCTATACTGCGCTATGCTATGCTATGCGATGCTATGCTATACTATGCTATGCTATGCTGAACTATGCTATGCTGAGCTATGCTATGCTATGCTATGCTAGGCTATGCTATGCTTGGCTATGCTATGCTATGCTATGCTGTGCGAATGCTGCGCTGCGCGATGCTGCGCTGCGCTAAACTGAGCTAAGGTAAGCTAAGTTATGCTAAGCTAAGCTAAGCTAAGCTCAGCTAGGCTAGGCTAGGCTAAGCTAAGCTAAGCTAAGCCAAGCTAAGCTAAGCTAAGCTAAGCTAGGCTAAGATAAGGTAAGCTAAGCTAAGCTAGGCTAGGCTAGGCTAGGCAAAGCTAAGCTGAGCTAAACTAAGCCAGGATGAGATAAACTAAGCTAAGCTAAGCGAAGCTAAGCTAAGCTTAGCTTAGCTTAGCTAAGCTAAGCTGGGTGAACCCAGGGGGCGTAACTGGGGGAACCGCGGGGCGGATCCTGGGGGAACCGCCCGGGGCGTTTTACACTGCCCGGCCCCTTTAAGCAAAGACGGTAAGAACCCTTCTAGGCAGAGCCTAGGTAGGGAAAATCACGACGTTGGGGGCCTGGGACAGGGGTCAATGCAATCGGGGGTCAGTCAAAGCGTTGGATCTTGCAGGATCCTGCCGAGCCAGGGTTGCATTGACCTGGGTTTGGGTACAGGATCCTGCAGGATCTTGCAGGATCCTGCAAGGCCCGAATGACCTGGGTCTGGATTGACCCGGGTCAGCAGAGCCCCGAACCGAACCCTATCCCCAGGCCTCGATCCAGTTCCTCGATCCTCTATCCTCCTCGATCCTCGATCCTCTGCCCTTGCCGAGGTTGGAGGATCGAGGATCGAGGATGTTCCCATCCCGATGCAGACCCCCACCATCTCAGCACCCCCATTGGGGGTATGCCCCTCGAAACCCGGAGGAAGCGGCCCATATCCCTATCTGGGGGGTACATCGGCCAGTGGGGCCCAGGCCACGCAGGTGGGGATCGGTTCAACGATGCTCAGGTCAGTCGTTCCTGAACGTGGGCTCAGGCACGGGCTACTTTAGCTCCGTCGTGCACGAGCTGACAGGGGACGCGAGCATCAACGACGGGATAGAGCTCTGGCCCGAGCCGATAGCGCACGCCAGGGAGCGCTGCAGGATGATCGGCAAGCGCAGCATCGAGTTCACGCAGGGGAGCGCGTACCAGCTGGATCCCAACATGTCGATGCGGTACGACAGGATCTACATAGGTCCTCCTCCCCTCAGATCCGACGTTGCGAGCAACTGCAGCATCGCGAACTATCACGACCGGAGCTCTAGGCCCAGCTTTTCTGAGGCATGTTTCGAGCCAGACCGATTTGTGATGGCCCCGGGGTCCGAAAAAGGGCGAAACCGCCCAGCGTGCAAAAGCTGCCGCGCCCAGATCTCAGGGCTCCCTCCCTGCCCGAGCAACGGAGGAGGAGGAGGAGAAGGAGGAGGAGGAGGACGACGAGGAGGAGGAGAAGAAGGAGGAGGAGGCGTAGGCGGAGCAGCAGGATGAGGAGGTGGGGGAGGAGGAGGAGGAGGAGGAGGACGAGGAGGAGG